AATGAAGAAGAAGCTGGAAGAGAAGAGGAAGATGATGAGGGTAAAGAAGAAGAATGAGAAGAGGAGGAAGAAGGTCAAGAAAAAAGAAAGATGAGAAGATAAAAGGAAAGAGAAGAAGAAAAAGAAGAGAATCCAGAAGATAAAGTTGAAGAAATGAAGAAGAGGATCTCGAAAAAGAAGAGAAAAAAGAAGAGGAGGAATAATGACAATAACAGGAGATTATCAAAGTATTGTTTAATATACAGTAGATGGAAAATAATACTACTCTGATTCTTTTCTTTTATTTGTACATTTATACAGGTAATGTCCTTGACACTTTTTATTTATTTTTTTCTTTTTTTACCATTCTCATTTTTAGTTTTTATACAAGTATTTTCATTAATTTACATAATCTAAAATTTGAAAAAAAAAAAATGGCATAGACTTTTTCCAATCTACAACCTTTTTTCTAATCCTTCATATTTTCGTATACTTTTAATCAAAATACTTTTCCAAATACATAATGATATAAATCAATCATCCGTCCCCAAGCTAAGCCCACAATGAGTCGTTACAACATCCATTAAAGAAAGCTCACACAGAAGTAGGAACATGTAACTCAACGTTATGGAAACTACAAAAATATAATTTCTTGAAATTTCTTTTAAACTTGTTTCTCTTGCATGGCATTTTACAGCCCATACTATTTCTCACAACATGTAAGAAATAATAAAAACAATAAGAGTTCCAGCTTGATCATATCAGTACCATATAATACACTGCAGACATAGCAAAACCGTTTTATTTATTTCCCCAAAGAACAACTCGTCTTCCTCAGTTCACACAACAATATCAAGGCCTAATAAACTTTTCTGATGAATCAGCCGTGTTTGTAAAATGTCCCATTGCATTGAACAGGTCCATCGGATTTTCATCAACCTCCTGGCATTTGTCGTCAAACTGTGCGCCAACTGTCCACAGAGTCTCTAAGTCATATTCTTCTCTGATGTCTGGTTTCATGATGTGCAGTGCGATGTTACCTGAAAGAGAAGGAGGGATGCATACAGACTCTTGAGACAATATTTGATTTCATGTCTCAACAATATAATTTTGGACAAAAATTCTAAATACATGTATCTTTTCAGTCTTGAGAAAAAAGTACAAGTATATAAAACCAATCCAAAGCTCGTGCTCACGCTAAAAATAAGGAGATCTCATACTGACTTTAACACTGCCAACTGGTACATGTGATGTCCACTGTTTTCTTTGGTGAATTTCATTTACACACAGATGGCTCCACAGGGGGTCAGTCACCAAGGAGTCAATTAATAGGCCCTATGTGAATCACCTGATTTCCTACTTCCTTGAATTTTTAGGATTATATTTTTCCTTTTCTAATGCTATCAAAATCAATACTGTTATCATCATTGCTGACATTATGATAATCTTAACATCATCACTTACTGGAAGCAATGGAATATGAAAAAGATCCTTCTAAAAATCAAGGAAGAGGGTAAACAGGTTAAAAACACAGGACTAATAACACTCCTTTATCAACTAAGCTCTTATGAAGCCATTGTATATAAACAATCAATAAACTACAATCACAGTGGACATGGCATGTATGTAAATGGCATCCCTGCTAACTATGGTTTAACTCATGGACTACCAATGGCATATAAATACACTAAGGCAAATTAGCCAATATTTTCAGTGCAATGTAGATTCTTTCGAATGTTCAGAATGAGCAGTTTGTGTTTTTTCTAATGTTCAGGATTCTCTTTATTGCTAAGTATATTCATGGGTCATTTCACGTATTATGAACAAGAAGGTGAAGAAGGAGGAGAGGGAGTGGAGGAAGGAGAAGGAGAAGGAGAAGGAGAAGGAGGAGGAGGTGGTGGTGGAGGAGGAAGAGAAGGAAGAGAAGGAAGTAGAAGAGGAAGAAGGTACTGGCAATGGCAGCTAGTCATGAGTTCCCTCTGGTTGGCAGGCAACCAGTTCAATGCAACCTGCACCATCATACCCATTTGAATGCATTCCTACCCAAACAAAAATCCATCTACAACTCTTATCTCTTATGCTTTCTAACCAAAGTAAAAGAAGACTACCCCTCTTACCAAATCACAAAATAACCTCTTTCTCATCACAAGTCATAGCATTCATCCTTTATCCAAATCACAAAAGCATAACAAAATCACTTACCCATATCCAGTGCCACCCAATTCGTTGACTTCCCTTCGCATATGAGCGATGGGTCTTTTCTGTTCTTCTTCTTCTTGTAAATGCGGCGGATTGTTTCCGCGAGGGCATTGATGTGCCGCTGGGACAGGCTAGTGACCACAACCATGTAACTCACGTACTTAATTTCTGGAGGCACCTGAGAGCATTGATTGGGGTTAAGGGCCTGGCTCTTTTGAATCTGAATGTTGGCTCTAAGACTCATTTACATTATTTCTAATTAGTCTTTTGATTATTTGGATTTATTTCATGATCTATGGGTTGCCTTTATTAGTTTCTTGTTTAGTCTGGTTAATTCAAAGATTGTTTGGAGTGATTTATCATCTCTTCTGATAATCTGATAGGATAAAATAATAATACTCTTATTCAAAAGCAGTATAAAATGTATCTTTTTTAAATTAAATATGAAAACAACAATACTCTTCTCCAAAATAAGATATAATATCAAAAAGCTAGAGAGGAGAAAATACAGAATGGTTCCTCACCTGGATGACAACAATATCCCTGGCATTCTCCTCTCTTAAAAATTCCACTAATTCTTCAACATCAAACACACCCGTTCTACCTCCTGCAAGCAAAGTTAATAATATATCTGTGAATAAAATATTTACATTAATCTTACTACTCATGTATTTTCTATATTTCAATTGAGATATGCATGTGTGCATACCGAAACGGAGATTCAGCCTGATACGACTGAGACCTGGCATATATAGCCATTGAAAATAAGGATATACTGATCTATACCAAAAAAATAAATAAAAAATAAAAAATAAAAATAAAAAAGATAATGTGAAAATAAAAATAGAAAACTTGGATACATATAGATATACAAGCCACAAAAAGGTAATTGCTATTTTTAGCTATTTATTTAACAAATACTCAAATATGAAAAAAATTACACTTTTCTGATTCTTTTTCAATTCCAATACTTACTCTCCAGCACTAGCTCCTCCACTTCTGTTTCTTCTTCCTCTATCCCTTCTGCTAGCCGTCTCTGCTCTTCATCGTAGTCATAAATTATCTGTGTTTTGTCCATGCTGAACTTTTCATACTTCTGTGTGGTGAACTTGGTCCAGGCTGAAAACATGGCAAAAAGGAGCTGAGGAAAGTCTGCAAAAATTGTCAGGTAAAGTGTCTGACACTGTTTCATATGAGGATATTCATACACTGAAAGCATAAGGAATTACCAGCAGTTGCCTAAATGGATTCAATAATTTTGCTTGCACACAAAAAAAATGCTGATGCCCTTATATATATGACATAAAAAAGAGAGTGTCAGAGCCCCTGCCATTCACTCTGTATTCAAATGATGTCCCAAGAATTATAAAGACAGAGTAAAATGTTGGCAGACAATAAAAATTATTCACATCAACTGAAATTGTCCGGATGAAAAATAGTTCAAGAGAAATTAGAGGTCATAGGTAGGTGATCTCAGGATTGACTTAAAATTTACAAGAAGATGCATATAGGATACAACATGCCTGTAAAAGGAAAGATCAGAATCTATGGTTGAGAAATGGAGTCCAGATATTGTCATACAAAATCTTGTATTTTAAGATTCAGTACTGGAGGAAAGACATTACTTGGACTGGCACAAGTTAAATGTAACCAAGGCCTTATCTAGAACAGGTATGGTGTACAATACAGCCATGAAACTCATACTTGGTCAAAAATATCAAATGTCTAGAAAAGGCTCGGGGAGGAGAAATGAAAATGGAGCCAGACTTTAGAGGATTGTCTCTTATGAGGAAATAATAAAAGATTTAGCAAGCATAACAAAAAAGGTCTTCTCTAAACCATGATCGAGTCTGGATCTTTGGAAGTTATTAATGTTTAAAAAGTCTCATCTTACAATGAGAGAAAAAATTCCTGAAGAAAATTATAAATGCATGGAATGAGCTCCTGGAAAATGTGCTCCAAGGTACAGAACCATATGAGGTTTCATGGAGGATCCAGAACAAAAATTGTCAAGGGTACCATATATATAGTGAAATCTAACTTATCCCTCATTAACCTATCAGTGCTAAGGCCCTATTCCACAAAGTACATATAAATTACATGCAGAAATATGGAAGTATTTGCAATCTAAAAAATCTTTCTTAAAGTGTATAAATACTGCACACTGAAACACGACCAGAAGTTACTCACGATTTATGGCTGCCGATTCCGGTCCTGTGTTTGAGTTCGCAGCCTGTTTGTCCATGTCCGATGATTTTGGAAGATGATTTCCGCCATTCTCATTGCTTTCCTTGCTCTCCTCTTTCCCGTCGTTACACTCCCCCGTGGATTTTCCCAGTTCTTCTGCAAAGTCACTCTGCAACTCACTGAGCCATTTCTTCACTTCTGGATCCTTGGAGAAGTCCATCTTGCCGTTCTTATCATTGCTGTCTTGCCTAGAGCTTGTGCTAAACCTACTTCGATAAATGTGCGACCTTAGTGGTACAGGGCGTAAAACTCCTTGTGGGTAGTGACTCTGGGCATCATGCCGAGAAATGAATGTGTGGCGTTCTTAACCTGGTAGTCCCTTCTAGACACCAAGGAAGGTGTCCTTGAGCAAAGGATGCAAGTGCGGGAAAACAAGCAACGCTGCATGGTTTTAGATTAACTCGGACAAGTCATCAGCTATCTGTGGAAAGGGAATCAAATTATAAATAATCTTAAAGACAAAAAAAAAGGACAAGGAAGATGGTAGAAGACTGAAGAAAAAGAGGTAGGGGAGAGAATGAAGGGAGAGGAGAGGAGAGGAGAGAAAGAGTGAGAAGAAGAGTAGAGAAGAGAAGAAGAGAAGAGAAGAGGAGAGAGAGGATGACAAGGAGTAAAAGAAAGGGAAGATCATAAGTCATTCATTTATAGATCAAAGCATCAACCACACTCAAGAATGCTTTGAAGACAACAGAAACCACATAATGAACTATACCCTAGAAAATCAACAATGTTATCAGTTAAAATGTCTTTGTATACCATTATTAGACCAAGGGATGTGTTTACATATGATTCAGTTAAAGAATTTCTTAGATACAATAAGAAAAAACAGATATCCAGGAAATATAGACAAATTAAAGTCCAAAACACCATATTTAATGAACGAACGAAGACCCAACACCGTACCAGATATACATTTTGCAATGCTGAGATCGGAACTCTTCATCCTGTTTGTCCAGACCAGCTGGACAAGATGTTTTGACTGTTCCGAACCCCTACTTTCTGGTCCTGTACAAGTTGTCCATCTCGTTCATCTCGCCCTCCTTCGAAGGTGGGTGAGCAGAACGAGATGTCACAATAGCTTTTGTATGTAAACACTGACAGTTGTAGGTAACCATAAGATATTGATAGGTAATTTTATGGCCCTTTATTGGTGTTATCAAAAAATATTTTTGTATTTGTCAGTTGCAGGTAAGTTAAATATGCATCAAAGAAGTTACAAAACCTAAACAGCATGTAAAATAAAGACACCAGTATGATAAATGAGTGAATGTTTATTTGGAGCCGGTTGCATTCTGGGCAGCAAGGGTCTTGGAGGTTCTGAACGTGGCCTTGTTGTCCTTCTAATTCTAGTTGTCTGGATGAGCAAGACGTGGAGTTCTGAATGCAGCATAAGACTGTGTTGACTCTAACCAGTGCTACCACCCCAGACTGTTGAGTTTGGTCTGCGCAGGGAACGCATTTCCCAAGCAAAAATTATTTGGTCAAATTCTGTCAGTGCAAATGTAGTTCTTGGGTAACTTTCCACCCACGCTTAGTTCTTTTTTAAATCATCTTCCACTCGAAAAAATTCTTTTGATCTTTCTGCGCCTTGTTTCATCATCTGTCCGTGCAAATGTAGACAAAATGATGTTTTCCGCACATGAAAAAATGTAATATTCCCGTGCAAGGAAAATACTCTACAGTCTGGCTTCCACCCCTATAGCCATCACCCACAGGCTTATGCAGTGACTCTGCAGAGGCTCACTGGTACCCGGGCATGTGACACCCCGTGGGACCTTTCTAGGGTTTAAAAATAACGAAGGCCACACAGATATAACATAGATACATAGTCCACAAGTATAATGTAAGGATACATAGATGACGACTGATGCTTAAATACACAGTAACACATTAAGTAATTTAAATTTATACACAAACATATGGCTAATGCTTACATTCCGGATAGAGGTATTGAAAACCCATGAAGAATAACTGTATCATTGAGGAATAAGGAGCTGAAAGTATTGTACACAGACGCAAACTTACTTTGAAGGACCTTGGGAGCACCATACAGTGTCGGCTGCTGAGTCTTATATCCCTATCCTATAGTAGTTAATTTTAATAATCTATGTGATACCTTTACGAAAAATTTAAGAATCACTAATGTCTATGGTGATAATTGTTGTTTTTTCTGATACATACTTAAGAGTGGATGTATAATTGGATGATTTGTTTATCAAATATCAAAAACGTAACACGTTTTGTTTTTCGCTCGGCAAAATTGGTAGAAAAAATTGTCAATTTTTATTAACCAAAATACTGTCAAATAGACATTTATACTGGCATCATTTTAATCATATTTGCTGATTAGTCACGATTAAATGCATCCATAAACCAATTATTTCTGTTTTCGGAATTTTTAAATCAACTGACTGACAGTACTCATATATGACATTGGTATCTATTATTTTCGCTTATATCATTGATATCAACAATGAAAAATCTATGCATTATTCTGCATTACTTTATAGATCTATTGACCAATTCAATTGCGCTCGTACTCGCCGATCGCCATTGTTTACAAACATTGAAGACGAAGGCGACGTGTACAGTGGGCGTGATTTCCAATTTTTACGATAATATCCCTACAGAAGAATTATGGAGTCTAAGCCGCGGGTTGTTGTGCTTTCCACACACGAGAAAGATGGAAGGGAGATTGTGAAAGGTAAATTGGTTTTGTATTTTAGTTGTAAGGATTTAATGGCTGTAATTGGGTCTTATTTATGTGTCGCCTTATACAGGATGCATATTATTGTTACGGCATCATAAGATTATTTCCCGGGGTTTAAGTGGCTTTGACAAGTTTCACAATATCATTACAAATTACCGTCTCTCACCTTTGATTGTAAATATGATTATATTTAGTTGCATATTTAAACAATTTACAATATTTTCTTTCATTTACATTACTATAATTGTAATAATATTACATGATATTATATTTAAGACATTCGACTAATGAAAATGTATGTGGACTTTCCAGGCATCCTTGATTTGGAGTGCCTGCCAAATCCAGTAGTCGAAGGGGAGGGTGTCGAGTGCTGGTCTTGGGAGATGGAAAATAAATACTACACAGCTTCGGTGCTGCTGACGACAGTGCCTCACCCAGAGAAGTGTTTGCAGTGGATCCTAGAGAGCGGGGAGGCCCTGATTATATATTGTGATGCAACGCAGGTCGTTGCAATTTTTTTTATTGATTGTTGATTAGAGTATAGTTGTAAAAGTTATTTAAAAGAAATGTTACTGAATATTATTATTATTATAAGTTTGTATTTATGTTATTAGTTTCGTTTTTGGTTCTCTTAGCTATTTCTTGCATGTGTCATTGAAATATAGTTATTGTAAGTATTGATAGGTATCACAAAAGTATATTATTTATTCAAGGTATAATTGCAATTTAATTTCTATTAAAGCATATGTTTTTGATAGAGATAGTTTGATTTCAACCATGTCATTCGCATCAATTCATTACCTAAGGTAAAAAAGTAGATAGTTTCCTAAAACAATTCAATGTATGACAGCTTAATTATCGTCCAACAGAATGATGCCCTAGACAGCATAAACAGCTTGGTGGAAAATGTCGGGGAGTTTGAGCCAGAGGTGCAGATGTTGGTCTGTGACTCTTGCTCTTCAGAAGATGGCAATGGTGGGCCTTTCGAGACTGAACGGTGAGTGATCTGTTATTTTTTCCATTTCTCTTGCATCTCTGCAGTGAGTTTCCATTGAAATGTCTATTGCTATACAACTAGTTCCCGATGTTATTCTGTCAGTTTCTGTCATGCTGTCATTTCTCGTGTTGTACTACCAGGCCCCTTGTTATATTACTTTTTCCCTTATTAACCCCTTGGATCTGGTTGCCTAATGTCCGAATTTTGGGCAGTCACATGGACCAAAATATGGACATTATGCTTACATGTGCAGCCGCTCTGCTGGGTTTGCAGCTTGTAGGCCGGGCGCATGAGAGCATTCATTTGCAGTGAAAAAAATTTATGCCTTTCCTTTGTAATATCCTCCCTGGAGCCAGTGCTCTTCCAGTGATGGTTAATGGACACTACATTCCACATTCATTTATCAGTGAGAATAAAAGGGAATAATGCAAAAGTTCCTAAATGCCAAATGAATCTACTCACCTTCCAAGAGGTTTATGCACTCTTGGTAAGACTTTTCCGTCACGCCGGCCTTCTGCCGAAGTGCTCATGGTAGCAAGTTAATGTCACGTGGCTCACAGCCAAGAAGACATGTTCATGTCACCCGCTCCTCAAATTTTTTCTTGACGTGATAGTCACGTCATCCAGATTGAAGGACTTAATCTACTTTCCCACTTTCTTCACTTTGTGTTTCTATTATCTCTCCTCATCTTCCTTTTGTAAGTCATGTCAGGTTATGTTGAGGTCCCTATTATGTGTGAAGTTACCAACTGTATATTAACTTACCCTTTGTATATTTAGTTTTCCATTGTGTATTCAGTTATGCAGTGTATATTAACTTGCCAGCTGCATATTGAACTTCATATTTAATCACCCATTGTATTTTAGATCACCAGTTACAGCAATTACTCATCATAGTAATAGTTAACTTACTGAATATTATGATGAATAACCAACCAAAAACAGAAAAAAAAGATAGGAAAAGATTTAAACCCCAAACCCTCCTGCATCCTCCTCAGCCCAGCAGTGGTGTATAAGTAATGGCTGGGAGCTCATAGAACTGAATCGTGCTCAGGAAACCAACAACGAGGACTCTGAAGATGAGGATGACTTCCCAGAGAGCCTTGGCTTTAAGCGTGTCCGCCAGGCTCTTCATGCGCACACCTGGTCCAACCTAGTCATGAAAGGTAATGCAGTTTTGAACGGCATAGATTGGAGTCCCTTGTACCTGGGCAAGGATTTTGCTGAGTTTGATTCATGCTAGACTGGCATGTGGTGAGATACTTTGGATATTTAGATCCATTGCAGATATTGATATTAGTTACTTTCCTTAGAGAAAAAAGGAGAGAAAGAAAGTGTTATTGGTCTGATGGAGTGATCTACTATACTCAAACCAGATAACAACCGAAGCAGCCGATTGAATGCAGTATTGCAGTCAGTGGCCTCAAAGGACGACAAGAGCGGCAAAGAAGGACAAGAATCAGATGAGGTGCTCTACTCTCAACTGTCAGACTTGACTGTGGAGGATAACAACACAGGGGCCTCACCCCTTCCAGGTAGCGTCACCTCCTTCATCTCCTCAACTTTTTCCCCTTCTCTTGCGAATAATTTCACTTCTATGCCTTTTCCTTTACTCTCTCTCTCTCTCTCTCCACCTGTTCCTCTTGCAAGTAACTCTACTTCTCAACCTTGTCCACTTCCCAACTTCAGCTTCAGAGCATGTTGTCTTCCATGCCTTTGGTGTCTCTAGCCTTTCTTTATTTGTCTCTTTTTTTCCAAATTCTTTGACATCTTTCATTGTGATTCTTCTATTATTATTTATATTATTGTTATTATTATTATATCATCATCATCATCATCATCATCATCATCCTTATCCTTATCATCATTACCATCATTGTTATTATCATTATTATTGTTATTACTATTGTCAGTTATTGACAGCATCATCCTCATCATTATCATTATTGTTTTTGTTAATGTTATGATGATGATGATGATGATAAATTTTATATATTGCATCTTAATTTTTGTTATATTTATTTATAATTTTGATTTCTCTTTCAGGTGACTATTTAGACCCCATGATGATGGAAGGCTGCCTGGAAAAAGATGAGGGTGACTTTGAGAATCTCTTTTCTAGCTTTGAGCACCTCAAGCGGACTGCGTCATCGCTCCCACCCGATCAACGGAGGGACTATGCAGAGAAAGTGGCTGTGGCTTTCTGGAGGGCCATGGGGGGGATGAAGATGAGGTCGATGGGTTGGATTCGGAGTAATAGCAGTGGAAGTGTTGGCAGTTTAGGGGCGTTGAAATAGCATGTATAAAAAGTTTATTTCTCTTTCAGGTTACATATGGTATTGTATATGTATGTTTGTTGTTATGTTTTCCTTTTTCTCTTTTCTTTTTTGTTATTAGATGTTGTTGTAGATAAAGCAATTTATGTATATTATGCGTGATGTGATCTAAAGTAAGCAAGAGATATATATGTATAGGAAGATAGGCAATATATCTTGTTTCGAGCTTGAGATGTTATGGTATGTTAAAGATGAAAACATACAATACCCTTGTTTTCAGTGATGTATGCATGGTTCTGCAGATACAGTTGCTCCAAGATATTATATAATAGTGAAATTTCTACATTTAATCAGTTATCTACTATTAAAAGATAAGATCTGGAATAAAAGAAATTAATGATCAGATTTTTTTTTTTGTGAGATGTATCTTTATGATTATTTGTATAATTTTTTTTTCTGTAGTCTTCAGTGGTGCCTGTTCTCCAGTGTAGATTTTCATACGATGTTAAAAATAATAGATAGAATCCAGTGAGGCATTCACTTCGTAATTTGTGGAAGTGCCAGCTGTAAAAATATATGAAAATTATAATTTAGGAAATACTGGCCCAATGTGTATTCATTTATCATTTACAAAATACTTCCCGTGTAAAAATTCAACATTATACAATATACCGATATGAATAAGAATCAGTTACTGTGGCATCGGGCACATGTAGATGGGGAATGACGACGACAAAATTGGGAAAACTGAAAAACTGACTTGTACCCTTAATTATTAGAGTCGAGATTATAGCCGGGATTATAGTTCAATCTTTCCTGTCTAAGAAATCCTCAGATTCTACGTAGTTTCATAGCACATAACCAAATAATCTGAGTAAATAGTTTTGTTTTGTTAGATATTTTTTATATTCTTAATACATTCTAGGGCCTTCTCTTTTACCTATTTATTTTGTTTATATTGGATTTAATGAATTTTTGTCAGGACATGTTTTCAATGGTACTACAAGATTTTTATTTATTTCTATCAATTTTTTAAATCTTTTTACTTATGATTTTTATGAAAACATTTCGTTTTGCATACTAAATTTTAACATTTTCTTCATAATTGTGTATGTAGTGTTCAATTGCATTTTACTTTTGTGATTATACAACTATTATGTGTTCAATTTTATTTTCAGTTTAAAAGAGTAATTTTAAATGAAAACGTCTTTGTTTTATGAGTACAGTGCAAAAAAAAAAGAAAAAAAGAGATTAACTTGGTCAAGAAAAGAATAATGTAGTCATTTATTGCTGCCTGTCAACTGATGCAAAGTGTAGAAAATAAGATTAGACGAAACTGCTTAGGATGCTGTTGACATCTGTCAGGGAATTGTAAGACAAAGAATGAATTATGAATTATGCAAATTTGGGAGAATGATGCTACATTCCAATTTTTTATGCATATGAATAATAATAAATGTAGTTTTTTTTTTTTTTTATTCCTATGGATATTTGAATTTATAAGTTGAATAAAGAAAATATATAGTAACAATAAATGATAATGATATGAATACACATAAGATTATAACCTAGTTAATAACAAAAGTTGTAAATAAACTCAACAGGAAAATATATCATCCTTGAGCTTTTTATTACTTCCCCCATAAATTCAATGGAAACAACTCTGCTAGACTGAATACTGTCTCAGCACAGGTACTTTGGTAACTTGTCTGGAGTTTCCCTACCCGGATGTCATATCTGTGCATGCCTGAAACCCAGCTTACGGTATGTGAATTGGTACACCATTTAGTAACATGGGCAAAGTCTCTCGTTTGGAAGCCGCCTAACACACTAGTTAACTCAAATCAGTCGTAAGCCATCTATTACTTATATTTTTTACACAAATCCCTACGCAAAATATTTTTATATTCTCTTTACATTTTAACAATACCTTATTATAGGAAAGATAATTTTCATACAGAAGCCACTCTAAAAAGAAAAGAAAAAAAATCACCAGTAATCATATTTAATAACAAAATCCTTAATTGTATTATGAGAAAAAGTAGTAGTCGTAGCAGCAGCAGCTAAAGAAGTAATTAAAATGAAAATGAAATGCAAATGAAAAGATAAAATGAATGAATAACCAATAACAGTAGTAATAATAATAATAACAGTACTACTACTACTAATTATTTTGATAATATAATAATGATAATAAAAATAATAATGATGATAGTAGTGATGGCTAATATTAATACCAATACTTCCTGAAATAATGTGATAACAATAATAATAATGACTATCATCATAACTAGAAAAAAAGGAAAGCAGCTATTATAGTAATTAAAGGAATGACAATAATGATACTACTACTAATAATAAACATTGACAACAATACACCATCTTTTTTTCTTAAAAGGATATAAAACACACAAGTCATTAAGAAATAAATATATATTTTGAAGTCAATCAACAAACAACAGCATGAATAAAATCTAATGACACGGCCTAAAGTCTGTGTGTTTGTGTGTACGAGTGCAAAGTGTTTTTCAGTCATTCTCCTGAATTTCGTTTCATGTCATTCCATTTCATCAAGTTTTATATATACACGTATTTCATTTGCGCTTAAACTCTCTCCGAGTCTTGTTGCAAGATGTGGTCTCTATATCGACTCTCCTGCTGCTTTATTTCTTTCCTGTCGTAAATGCCGAAATTTTTAAAAAGGGCAAGAAAGAAAAAGTGCCATTCAATCCTCAGACAGATCGGACATTAGAATCAAAAGTATCCTGAATTTTTTTTTCAGTATTTGTGAAAAGAGAAATCAGAATAGAAGTTTGTGTAAAATGTTTTAAGAATTTTTGGTTATTATTGCATTGGTGAAGAGGCACAATATGGATGTAATACAAATATTTTAAAGAAATTTTGATAACTTTTGTTTTACTTTTATTGATTTCCTTCCCCTATAATTTAAAAATGGAACATTTTCTCCTTAGTGAATGTTTACAGCAATCTGTAATCATTATGGGAATATACACATAAAATAAAAGGAAATAACAATAAATAAATACTGGGTTTCAAAGAGCTAAATAGAACACACTCTCAAATGCCATTTTGAATTCAATTCCACCTTAAATTATAGAACTAAGTATCAACTCTTTCTAATAAATAGAAGCAAAACTTTGGCCATTTGAAACATACAATCTCTGCATGTACAACAACATATATAACAATAAATGAATCATACACCTGGTTCCTCACTACGGAAAATTGCCTATAAAACACAAGTGAAAAATAAAATAAGGAAGAATAAGGTAAAAACAAAGTGAAAGAAGAAAAAATCCTGAAAGCTCGATCTCACTTGCATAGATATTGCAAAAAACAGCCTAAGACATATAAACACCGCCTCTCCTATCTCTCAACACCATAAACTTCTATTATTTACAAAATGCATTCCTAAAGGGGGGAGGGGGGAAGAGAGTATCCACTAGCTCTTGAAGAGGGAGGAGAGCAGTGCCGATACTTCCTCTTGTGATGGGCATGCAATGATGATGCGGTCATCCTCATTGTAGTTCTCCGTCACTATATTTGCACTTTAGAGAAAGTGCTGAGGACGTTCGCCCGGATGGGCTTGAACAGGATGAACTCTGTGTCGCGGTTGGCCAGGTAAAGTTGCATACTGCGCTGGATGCCAGGCAGATGTGTGCGGATGTTTTTCTGGCTGCTGCTCACAACATCTGCTATCTGTGATGGATGCAAATGGATGTTTGTTGCTTTGACAGGTTTACTGAGACCAGAATCTATGTCTCAAAGGGATGAAATAAAGCAAGTTACCCTCACCATCTAATGTATGGTGAAACTATTGATAATGGGAATTATAAATAAAACAAATCACGTTTCATTTTCTCTGCACAAGTAATCAAACTCTAAACTATCATCAGCTGCAACCATTAATCATTAACTTGAGAAAATGGGGCAACCTCTATCAAAAAAAGAAAACGTAAAGTAACTGACCTTCTCGGCAGATGCAAATGGCTGGTTCTTAAGGGAAATGGGCTTGACACTCTCCTCCTTGTTCATCTGGAGGATGACCTCTGCCTTGGTTAGGAAGATGGACAGTGGCCCTGTCAGGGACTCTGTGCAGGTCAATATCAGCAGCTCACACAGCTTCTTCAATCTGTTGTCTAGGTCTCTCTTTGAGTCCAGTCTCTGTTCAGTGACCTGGATTGTAGATAAATAAAAAATATATAAGAAAACAAATGGGCACCATCATAAACCTCAGACTGGTAATGGCATGTATATACACTAGAAATGTCACCACAACTTTCAAACAGTATGCATATTCTTTAGTTTCAAAATCAGGTGTTATTATAATTTACAATATTCTTATATGATTTTAAGATGTGCATGAAAAGAAAAAAGAACCAAAATTAAAAATAACATACTGGCTGCCATGGGTACCTGCTCAGAGGCCCATCTTGGCTTGCAGCTGGTGGGTTAACCTTTCAAATTTGCAAGATTCAAAGTGGAAGTGGTAACATTTCAAGCCAATGAAAAACTTTCCTGGTATAATCATTGCAAATTCTGCTATGTCTTAAAAGAAAGAACAAAGAAAGAACGAACAAATGAATGAACGAACAAAAGAAAGAACGAATGAATGAAAAAAAGAAAGGGGAAAAATATCTATCGCTTTACCTGAAGGCTACCCTTGACAATAAACTCCAACAGTGCATTATTGGATGAGAGAGAGAAGAGGCGATCCCTTTTCTGAACCAGGCTGAATGCCGCATTTCGTACTTTGCTCCAGTCTAGGCTTGTCTCATGCAGGCAGGCATCAACCTGTTAAATTGTATGGGGAAAGAAGTATTAGCATTCTATCTGGTTATAAACAGTCTAAAGATAAATGATAAAAGAGAATCTAAGTTTACAAAACTACACAGATATTTCTCTGACTACTAGCTCTTACAATAAATATTTGAAGAAGGAATGAAAGAGACAGATGGTCCTTATGTACACAGGTTAAAGAGGGCAGATCCCTTCTCAGAATTTGACTAATTAGTTCATAACTGATGCTAGACACACCTATGCACTTCTGACTGTTTCTGGAAATTCCTGTTTGCTAATAACAGGGATGCAATTGGATAAATTGCCTTACCCTAAACACTAAAGGTTAATTCACTGCCTCACCTTGCACCTACAAGAACAACACTGATGGCAACAAAAACACAAAGGACATTTTGATCACCTGGAAAGGGGCCATTTGTTCTCTGAGGATGAGGAGATGCTTAATTTCAAACAGCTGACCGTCCAGAGGCGAGGAAGTCTTGCTGATGATAGCTGAGGCTGAGCTAAGACTCTGCATGCATGCCGTGAGGGCTTCTAGTGATACACCCTGGTGGTAGAAAAATATGCAAAAAATGGTACAATCTTTAACCCACTGGCTAACACATATATGGCTCTACGAGTACTTGGTCAGCTCCAGAAGCACTTGGTTACCAAGGAGTCAATTAGAAGTCTTACATATCTCTCCTGTTCACCGTCCTTTTTGATTTTTGTAAATATATATTTTTCCTTTTTCATTCACATTAGCAATGCTAATAATATCAAAATAATCATAGCATCAATAATGATAATAAGTATTGATATGAACAACATTGATATGAAATTAGGTGAGGTCACATAGAAATACCAACTGACTCTTTGGTGACTGAGCACCTCCAGGAACCATTTATGTGTAAAGAATTCACAAAGTAAAACTACGAAGGGTATTACATGTTTTTGGAAACACTGGGTTTATAGAAGGTGTGGTTGAATTTGAAGATGAAGACTGGTTATATTAAAATTTAGAAGAGCATTCAGATAGATTACTGGACTACAAAGCAGATAAAGAATTTCTGAGTACGGAGGGAGAGAGGAGGGAGGAGGGAGAGGAGGGAGAGGAGGGAGGGAGGGAGGGAGGGAGGGAGGGAGGGAGGAGGGAGGGAGAGAGAGGGAGAGAGGAGAGAGGAGGGAGAGAGGGAGGGAGAGAGGAGGGAGAGAGGAGGAGGAGGAGGGAGGAGGGGGGGAGGGAGAGAGGGAGAGGGGAGAGAGAGAGGGAGGGGGGGAGAGAGAGAGAGAGAGAGAGAGAGAGAGAGAGAGAGAGAGAGAAGGAGAGAGAGAGAGAGAGAGAGAGAGAGAGAGAGAGAGAGAGAGAGAGAGAGAGAGAGAGAGAGAGAGAGAGATAAAGGGGTGTGGAAGGAGTAAAATATGTATAAACCAATGAAAGATTGTAAATTCTAGGAATTAATCCTCCATTACAAGCAACTCACCTGGAAAATACTTCTGTCCACACACCGGTATAGCTTGAAAAGGCACATGAGTGTTCTCCGCACAGTCGGGTACCACATACCATGGAGGTCAGCTGGAGAAGTGCCCACACGGAGAACTCTCATCTGCCGCTCCAGTGATGTTAGCAACCTCTTCACTTGTGGCTGATCTATGGGGTGGGGGGTTGGGGGGAGAGAAGATGAAGATGATTAAAAGTGGGCAAATGGAAAGGGATTATTGAGGTATTTTGTGGTTTTGGGTTATGGATAATCTTATCTATTTTCCTGTTCTCTATTTCTTAAAGACTTGTTCTTTTCTATTTCTGATTTCAAGTATACATTTTCTTTAGGTCCATATTTATTCACGTTACTTCACAATTACTACATTACATATTACTATTCCTGGAAGAAAAGAATGAAAGAAAGAAAGAAAAAATATATCATAAAAAAAACAAAAAAACACACACACACACACATCAGGGCATACAAATACACACATAAAGGCACTTAAACCTAAACTTCCACACAGCCTCTATCTATCAGTCAACCTAACTAGCAAAAGCCACAACAGGACCATTCCCATTTGCTTCCACAGACCTCGTAGATGATATGGAGGAGACAGAGGCGTTGCGCGAGTGCATCTTCCGCTGGCTGGCTAAGTTCTCTGCAATGTTCTCCATCATCTGCAGCTTGCTTGGGTATGCAAGGTCTCCTGGCGATGGACGGAAGCCAGCAATGTCCACATTAATGTAGATGTGCGCACGATAGACGAGCCTTTCCTGTGTGTCCTCCAGCATCTGGTTGACCACGGAGGTGAGTGGGGCCAGTTGTGTGGGATTGTTCTGCAGGTGCTCCTCGATCATCCTATAAGATTGTGCATTGTTGCTCATTTCAGGGTTAGTAACTATTTCAGTCCTCTGACCATTATTCTATCAACACTCAAACCATGCGTAATTCTTCTCTTTGTTTACTTTTTCTCATTTTCATCAATACAAAATAGGAAAAAAAAGGATATATAAACTAAATAAACAGAAACTACAAAAATGATAAAAGTATCCTCAATAACCTAAATGAGGAAAAAGATAAAGAACTAATCCCACTCACCCTCTCTGCAGGATGTTACATAGTTCAGACAGTGTTTCAAGATGGTCGATGTGTATGATGAGAGGCCGCAGGACATCGTATAAACCCGTACACAGTCCCAGTAGGAAAGCATCCAGGTCTGAGGTGGCTGCTGTGAAGAACTGAAAAAATTCCTTATGGTTATACTGTAGCAGATTCATAGGAAGAGTCACAGTAATTATAATCTAATGCATGAAAAACTATTTTCCTTATCTAGGCCAATAAGCCATATTGATAATGATAATAATAATGATGATAGTGATAATAACCATAAAAAGTTAATGATAACTAGATTCATATTTCTATCATTACCACTATTATCAATATCAACTAAAATGAAATATATATACTATTAGTGAATTCTATTTTGGTGCCACAAGACCCAAAAATGGACAAAAATCCTGGCATTAGGTTTACTTGAGTGGCGACTCTCCTGGATGCATGGCTTGTAGGCTTGGCCCACACAAACACTTTGTGTGTAATATCAAGACCTCTTGCCTCCTCTTTGCAATGTTAATATCTCTTTCTACATCAGCATTATTTATTTATTTTTTTTTTTGCTTTTTTTCCAAATTTTGCTATCCCTACAGTGATGGGGCATAATTTTTGTCTAGCCTTTCCAGCAGGGTGTTTGCTGTGTAAAGCCAGACTGTCCACTCACTTGCCAGAGTAAGTCATGACATGTATACATGTTTCCCGTTACAATGGTAGCATATCCACGATGGCTTTAGGAGTGACCATCAGTAAGGGATATTTGTCATCTGTTATACTGTATCTAGATTATGATACACTGTTTTGGTCAAGTGAACTCAATATCACTAACTAGATAGTCTAAAACCCTATGCAATAACAATATCAATATGTAGCATTTTGTTATTTGTTATTAAAAAAATAATAATAATAAAAAATGAAAAAAATTGTATCAGTCAGTCTTCTATAAAACACCCTGTGCTACCTGTCATGATGGGTATGAATAGAGCATGCTCTTCCAGCCACAGCTAATAGATGATACATTCCACCCATTTACTGGAGAAATAATCCAAAAGCCTGTTCTTAAATGCCCACAAAGGCTAATCCTCCTCCAAGAGCTTTCTGTACTCAATATGAATCATTGCCCTCAGTCAAATTTTTCTTGACAGTATATTCCTGTCATCCAAAACCAAATTTTTAATAATGTGATGGTCATATTACCCAGATCCAAGGATTAAAGACTGTTGCATCAATATCAGTAACAACAATAAGAGTTACTTTCCAATAACATTAAAAATATAATGATAATATTGATGATAATGATAATAATCAATGATATTACTAGTTCTACTACTAATAATAATAACATCAATAGAATTAATAATGTTGATAAAGGATAATGATGGATGATGGATGATGGATGATGATGATGATGATTGATGATGATGACAATGATAACGATGATGATGACTGTGATGATAATGATAATGATAATTAGCAAGTGTGGAATATAATGTCCATTAACCCTGACTGGAAGAGCATCGGCTCCAGGCTCTGCATCGTATTCCTGGCTGCTGTGACCAGCGTGCATGTTGTATTCCAGAAAATTGATTATTACGAAAAAATAAAATATATGACACAAATAACAAAATGTCACATTCTATTTTCTTGCATTGAGTTATTTACTATATTGAGAGATGATATAGAGTATGTATAAGGAGTACAGCACATCCAAAGACAAATATGGATAATGGAAAATGGTGAAAAAGCTAAAAACGTTTATGCAAGACAACGTTGCAAAGTGGAGGGCATGGTGTCATGTCATTGCACATGAGTGTTTGCATGTGCCCGGCATAAACGCTGCACACCCGGCAGGGCAGATACTTACATAACCTAATGACCGCATTTTGGTCCATGTGACCGCCGTGACACAACCAGATACAAGGGGTTAACAGCTGTGCCAATTTTGTATATATCCTTCAAGAACACTTGTGAGGAATCTAGAACTCTCTTTAGTACACTTTTATCCTTTACCTTCGGAGTAAGTACATAGGGAAACATACAAATTTATACATAAGATAAAACCTAATAACTAGATAATAAAAAATCCTAGCAAATGAACACCTGGACTTAGCTGATGATATAAACGATATCATTTTCTTCCTTACCTGATGAAAAAGATTGTATTCATCCTCACACACATGCACAAGGAATGCACAGCCACTTCGCACTAGTGAACAGTAATCCCGCTGATATTTCTGCGAAAGCTCAGTCACTGCATCGGCCACACAGGGGCCCATCAGTGTCTGACGCTGTGCAAAATAACACTGATGGCAGTCACTAAGGAGGTTCAGATACTCGGGACTATTTTCTACCCGGTCCTCTATCTCGGCCATGAGGGTCTTTATGCGTGGTGCATTAGTCCTGAACTTGCCGTAATAGAGCACAGCCGCATTGTCACTTGATGGCTTTTCAATGCCAGGTTTGGGTAACACTTGCTGGGTAGCACTCTCTAGGGACTTGGTCACATACAGCTTCACCATGCCTAGTGCTCGACTCAGGCAGTGCTTGTACTTTGCTAGGTAGAGTGCAGACTCTTGGAATGTAGGGTTAGTATTCATGTAGCTGATGCATTCGTCAATCTTCGCCAGCAGGGGGATGAAACCATCACTCGTCACCTGGAATGCTGGCGAGCTCAGCTTCTGGCTTATCCGGTCTACCTCCTTGAAGTAGGCTAGTTTGCTCTCAATGGTGTCAGCCTTGTTTGTGAGTCGAGTCTGTTCAGCTAATAGATGCTCACAGTCGGTGTGAAGTGCACTTGTCTTGTTTGATACACTGGTGTACTGTTGTAAGGAGAATAATGCAGTGTTTGTTTACTAATGTGCATCATTAGGAAAATTTCTGATTAATAATAATATGCAGATATCTATAACTACTTCTATATAAACATGAACTGTAAATAATTCTGTAATGAGCTAGTTTGTTTGTATTTTCTTTCATATCTGCCTCTTTCATCAAAATCATACTAACCAATGTAATTTTGATACTTACTTTTACATATACAACAAATGTGCTAAAGTCTTCACAATATGGAAAAGGGTCTAAAAAAAATCACAGCCTTAAAAACAAATCCAACATACCTGTCCTGATAAATGTTGTAAGTTGTTGAGTGCTTCGTCAAGCTGAGCAAGGAGAGTCTGACACTCTGAGCGGTGGCTGACCAACTGACTGACATAGTCTCGATAAGGCCCATCTTGTTCCTCACACATCTCGGCTTCTACTCCAGCAAACCATGTTAAAAACTGTGGAAACAAACACATTAATCTTACATCATATGTATACAGATTGATGTAACTCTTTGATAACATTAAATTCATAATATAATGGCTTTTGGAATATCCACCTATTACTGTGGAAGCTGAAACAATATTATTACAACTCAATAACTATTAAATAATGATACATGAAACTATGAAAAAATAGAACTTAATATCATCCTATCTAAATAGCAATAAATATCATACATAATCTATAGAAATGATCATACAATTGAATATATTGACCTACAATGAAAGACAATATCTATTGCAATTGTGGCTGATAGGCAAAAACATATACAAGATTTCTCAAAACACTTTTAATACACACAAAAATGTAGTGTGTCTGCTGTTAGAATCTAGCTTGGGTGCTAAAATAGCCTAGTATTGACATGAAAAACCTGTAATAATAATCTAATATTGCTATCCGACAGACATGCAAATATACATATAAAGGCAACGTATATACTACATTATATTTATGTATTTATGTCCAAAGAATTCCTTATTTTGGTCCCAATTAGTAGAGATGCATATTTTGCTTCCCCAAAAGACACATGGAAACAATCAAGGAAAAGGGAACCGAAAAAATCGAATACGAAATATCCGTAATCGTGGCAAACCGTCTCCCCCGAAACCATCTTCCCGATCCCAACCCCTGACAACGAATACCAATAATACCACTAATACCAACCTGCTGACTCGACTCTATCTTAACCTCTCCCAATTTGAGCCTCGCCAAGCTGTCCGAGAGGTGATGTTCCGACAGAGAATCCCTCTTGGAGCTGTCAAGAGGATATTCCGAGTCCCTCTTGGATCCACCCCCTTCCTCCCTCCCGCCATCGCTTCTCGTCTCTTCCGAGGTCAAACTTGGGGGTAAAGGTCGCCAGCCGGACACGGAGGTCAGCTCGATGATTGTGTCCCTCTCCTGTGAGGTCAGCGGCGCTAAGGGGGTCTTGTCGTCCTCCCAGATGGATAAATTCTCTCTGACCGGCCAATGTTTACATCTGCCACGTCTTCCATTTTTGTTTTGACAGCGAGTCACGGAGCCCGGACGGAATTACAGGTCCGGTTAATATATAGTGGGATGATTGGCTTAATATAATTTGATTTGTAACTCCATTAGTATTTTTATATTCTGAAATATATTTGAGATTTTTAAAGATCACCATAGTGGATAATTCAGAAATTTATTTACTTTTCTGAAAAGTAGACCTACAATGAAAATATTCCTATATATGAAAAAGTAACGCATTTTTCCAACATTGAAAAATAAAACGAACATAATTAACTCCAAGAAAGCCACAAAATTTGTCTAAATAATATATATACCCCTAAATCCAAAAAATTCTGCTTCAAGCCCATCCAACCAATCAGAAACGAGTCCCAACTTCTTGCGCATTCTGATTGGTCAGAGGAAACTAACGTAAACAAACCCTTCGAGCTCCAAGAAGGCCTCGTGTTGTGGCACCGTAAACACGTGCGAGAGGAGAAGGGAGTGGAAATTTATTATAAGAAAAATAAAAATAATTCAAAATGGTGGCCAAAAGTAAGTATTTGGTGATGTCTTTGGTTGTTTAAGTGAGCTAAATTCGTGGTGGTTCGTGTAGGTAAGGGTAAGTTAAGCTTAGAAATATGGATCGGGTTTTCTTTAGGGTTCGGGTGGTAAAAATTCCACATTTTTATGTACGTAACGTGTGATTATTATTATTACTATATTATTTTTTTGCTAAGACATAAAGAAAGTTGAGGATACCCACAAGGGCTTTCAAAATATTCCTTGTTTATTACATTGATAATCTGCATGGGACTCCTTAATAATTAATAACTATCTCCATGATTTTGGTTGTGTTCTGTCTAAATCAACTTGGAAAAAAAGGATGCAAAATTGACTATGAGATGTCCAGTGATAATTGCAGCTTTTGCACTTGAGGAAAACCAATAGACGTATAGGTCTTGGTCTGGTTTATTATTGAGAAATTGCCAAGGAGGCTTATGCTGCATTCGGAACTCCTCGTCTTGTTTGTCTAGACAGGTTGGACAAGATGTTTTGACCATTCAGAAGCTCTACTTTCTCGTCTTGGACAAGTTGTCCATCTCATCCATCTCACCCTCCTTCTCAGCAGGGCGTTAGGACGAGATGATGTCACAATGGCATTTGTATGTAAATAATGACAAGTGAAGGCAATCATAAGATATTGATAGGTATTTTAATACTGTTTATAGATGTTAATAAGCAATACTATTGTTTGTCAGTTGCATCAGTATACATCTAAGGACTTACAAACTTATGCTGCATGTAAAATAAAGTCACCGGTTTGATAGATGAGCGAATGTTTACATTCAAGCCGGTTGCATTCTGGACAGTGAAGGCCTTTGAGGTCTAAATGAAGCCTCGTTGTCCTGCTGGTCCTGACAGGTTGTCTAGACGAGCAAGACAAGGAGTTCCGAATTAAGCATTCTAGGCTCCAGCTTGCCATAGGGTATAAAAGGCACAGTAACCTTGCTAACTAATGCAAGGCCAGTGGTGCAAATGCAAGTGTCAATTAACCATCTGCATTTCAAGCTCTGGTTCTTAAGAAATATTTGGTAGAGCTTTGTATTTTTTTCAGTCCCACATACCTTTATTATTATCAACTTGCGAAGATAATGCCATAGATGAAAGATGTCTAATTTCAGTCATTCTGTCCATTACATGCAAAATTTACCTTCTATTTGATAGCCTTCTGAAACTAAAACTATTCCAAAGTTTGTTAGTATTTTTAGAATTCCATGTATGTTTGTGTTTATAACTAGTGATTGGTAATCATGGTGATAATGATAATTTGAAAAATGATAAGAATATGGAATAATTTTGTTTATTATAAGTATGATAAAGATGAAGAACTTATTATTAATAAACTTGTGCAATCAACAGGGAGAAAGTCGAAGAAGGTAACCCTCAAGAAGAAATACATGATTGAGAAGAAGGTGCGAGCGCATAAGAAGAAGCAGAAGAAGCTGCAGAGGAAGCAGCCGGAGCTCTTCAAAAGTAGGTCTTGTCTCTTTCCTTCCTTCTTCCTCCTTCTTTCTTTAATTCATGCCAAAAACAAGTTATTACATCAGAAATAAAACTGAGGATGGGATTGATGTCTATCAAGTATGTCTATCTAGTCTGTCTGTCTAGTCTATCTGTCTGTTTGTCTGTGTCTGACTGTCTCAGTCATTCAGTCACAGAGTCACAGACATAAGCAAGCAGGTATGCAAAGACAAATAGAGACAGACAATTGGATAAACAGAAAGAAACAGACAGAAAAAGCACAGGCATAGATTAATCATTAGATACAGATATTTTCCTTTAGATCAGTCCTGAACTCATCCAATCTTTAATTTCAGAAAAGCCCAAAGACCCAGGTGTGCCCAAGACCCTCCCCTTCTATGACAAGATCATCGAGGAGGCCAGGCAAGCCAAGGAGGCGAAGCTGCAGCAGATCAAGGAGAACCAGGAGCGCAGGAAGGAACTGAAGGCCAAGATGCTCGCTAATACAAGGAGTGCTGAGTAGGTGGCATTTTTTTGGTTTTATTACTTCTTTTTTTCCTTTTATCCATCTTGGTTTTTCTTTCTTTCTTTCTCCCTTTTTTTCTTTCTTTTTTAATCTTTGTCTCTCTCTTTATCTTTTAGGGGTGTTTTTTGCAATGTAATTTTCTTGAGAAATAGATTCTGATATCTTATGAGAATTTTGAAATTATTATAGTGTATCTCTGAAACATTGTTTTTTCCGTAATTAGCAATTCTCTCAGGTTATCACAAATTCATTTCCTGATTAATTCAACTTCTTTCTAATTACCGAACTTCTCTCACCGCTCAACTCTCCCTCTTCCAGGTCCATTAACGAGATGATCCAGACGGCTGAGAAGCGTGGGGCAGAATTCGAGGAGAGGATGGCCGCAGAGTCCAGCGCACAAGGTACCCTCACAGATCGCTCGGCAAAGGCGTATTACAAGGAGTTCAAGAAGGTGGGTGAGAGTGAGTGAGTGAGCGAGTCAGTCAGTCAGTCAGTCAGTCACGGTCAGTCTGTCTGTCAGTGCATGGAGAGAGCATTGCATGGATTTGCAGTCTTGGCCATTAGTTCAAGTGTGCCCTTGGTGCATTTTCATTGTTTAGGGTCGTTATTTTCTTTGTGGTGTGTTTTCATGTAGAGATCTTTTTAGATAGGTTGGGGAAGGTGGTTGTTTGTTTTTACATTTATTTTCATTTACTTGGTTACTTAATGTGAGTTGAGGCAAGTGGCTTATGGTAGGCCATTCTGGAGGACTACCTGTTAATTGATTATTTAAAAGATATGGTTGGTTGGTTCCTTGTAAAAGTCAGGGGTAAGTTTCATGATTGGCTTGTGGGTAGCTCATCTGTTAAAGTTTTATTTACTTACTGCTTTTCATTACGATCAATATCAATATTATTCTGCTGTGTGAAATTTAACTTTATGCAAATTTTACACAAAAGGGTGACAATATTGGGTGAATATTTAGGCAAGTTTCATCTAAGTGATATTTGCTTGTTTCAAGATTTTCTCTTTGCTGAATCTTGAAATTTGTCATTGTTGTGAGAAGACAAAGAGATACCTTATGTCACTACACTAGACAATACTACACACCTAGAGAGGAATAGTTATTTAACTTTATATTATCTCCTGCAGGTGGTGGAGGCAGCAGATGTCATCCTAGAGGTTCTTGATGCCCGTGACCCCCTGGGCTCCAGAGTGCCGCAAATGGAGGCCTCTGTCACTTGCCATGCCAATAAGAAGCTGGTGCTGGTGTTGAACAAGGCCGACTTGGTGCCCAGAGACGTCTTGGAGAAGTGGCTCCTGTACTTGCGTCGCGAATATCCCACAGTCCTGTTCAAGTCCAGTACACAGACGCAGGGTTCGCACTTAGGGCAGAATGCAGCTAGTACGTCATCCAAGTAAGCACGATCTGCAATTTGTGTACTTTTATCTCTCTCTTTCACTTTCTCTTTACTTGTAATATATGTGGTTTAAGAGTTTGGTTTTGCAAAACAAAACCATCAGTATCCAAATGATTTAGCCATATGATATAAGGATTTTTATCTAGATGATTACCAAGATGATTTTTTTTTTTTTTTGCTCAGGGTTCTGAAAGTAACAGATGATTTGATGACATCGTCCAAGGCCCTCGGTGCAGAGGTACTCATGCAGCTGCTGAAGAATTATTGCCGCAACAAGGACATCAAGACAGCCATCACAGTTGGGGTCGTGGGTCTGCCAAATGTGGGGAAGAGCAGTCTTATCAACAGCTTAAAGCGTAGCAAGGCGTGTGGTGTTGGGGCAACTCCAGGCTTCACCAAGTGAGTTTTTCTATTCTTCTGCTGCTTCTTTCCTCCTCCTCCTCCTCCAAGTTAGTATATGATATATATGAATATTTGTTATCTGAATGTGATATGATAAAAAGTGAAAGTGAAGCTGCTTTTTATGCATTAATTTATTGACCATACAAAAGAAACAAGTGCTCTATTAAATAAGCTTTCAATCAGTGTTTTTGCACATTATTTACTTTCTTTCTACAATTATTGAATTACTTCCTTTGTACTCTATCCTTCCCAAACAACCCAATTTATCCCACTTGCTAAATGCTCACCTCCCCCCTCCTCTCTACAGGACTCTCCAGCAGGTGCAACTCGATTCCAAAGTCCAGCTGATTGACTGCCCAGGTATCATCTTGCCAGGGGGCGACACCTCAGATGCGAATGCTGCGCTGAGGAACGCTGTGAAGTTGGAGCAGTTGGATGACCCGATCACCCCTGTGGAGGCTATCTTTGCACGAGCCCAGAAGAGCCAGGTATGAGGAGAGGGGCAATTTTTTGTGTGAGTGCGTGGGTGCATGTGTGCCTGTTTGTGTGTGTGTGTGTGTATTTCTTTGGATGTGTGTGTTCTTGTGGATATTTATAGTAGAGTTGTTCTTGCCTTTGATCAGTGTTATAGTATCCATTTATATAAATACACGTTATTAAATCAAACTGCAGTGAAAGTCTAAATACCCGATTTTTCTGCCTTATCTCACCTTCATCCCCCATAAGTGAATGTTTTCCCATTTGAGATCCCCAGCATGAGAAAGCCCAGAGCCCCATCTTCAAAACAGTGGAAAAGAAAAAGGTTTATTATTTCTTTTTAGCTCAAAGATCCAACAGAGCTTAAGGTCTTAGGAAAATGTTTTTATCAACCAGCAAAAATGATAAGAGATAAGAATAGTGAGCATGGTGTGAGGTACTTAGTGGCTTAGTTATGAAAGAGCTTCTTCAACCTTAATGAAATATCATCTAACAGTCTGTCCTCTTCCACAGCTCATGCTCCATTACCGTCTACCAGAATTCCAAACTGTTGTCCAGTTCCTCACACTGCTCGCAAA